AGCAGGATTAATACCACCTAATTTACTTAATGTTGTCAGTTTTCGATAAAATGACAATGTGTGTGAAGTAAACCATTCAAACAACAAAGACTACATCTAGTGCTTCAAATCTACTAAATCTATTAATGTACTACTTGCAATGTTGCACCTTAGTACAAGTTCTACATCAAGCATGTCAAACTCAAAGGCTAACATGGGCCAAATAAACAAGGTTTAAGTTTATGTGGGCCGCAAAAAACAAAAGCTTCAATTTTCATAGAAACATAGGTTTAATAGTTTTATTTCAATAGAGACATGCTGAATACAAAGGCCTGAAATAAATGAGTAACTGTTATGATAAAATAATAGAACATTTTAATAAAAATTAATATTTTTTTTCTTGAACATTAACTTACCAGACACTGAATAACTGCACAAATTAATAAGCGTAACTCAAATAATATTTTTCTTCTTGTTCTCCGAAAGCAAAATATTTCCTGTTGCACACACCAAACAAGTCAGTACAAGACTAATGACATGGCAATCGGCTACTAAAATATTCGCTGCTAGTATTAGTGGAGAGAAATGGTGCGCCTGCATGTAAGATGCGTAAGGGAAATGAATGCAACATGATTACAGTAATCAGTCATTAACGAACGTTGTAGTTCGTTATTAATAATTACATATAAAAGGATATTGTAAAAATTAAGTTACGAAATTTTTATTAAAACGTTTCTTACATACCGTTATATTGGCTGGGTCACAAAAATATTTGTTACGGGGCACATGCGGCCCGTGAGTTTGACATGCTTGTTCTACATCATTCCTTTCCACATTCAGGAAAATACTTACTGAACACCAATTATGAGTCAGACAACAACAATTTCTCCTCTGACAAGCCCAGCTTCAACTGCTGCCTTTCCTAAACTCTTTCAACCATTCTGGTCCCTACCATTCATTTTTGCACTTACACACAATTCTGAATCAATCCTTCATGTTTTTCTCTCCCATAAAACTAACCATCATAAGGAATAGAAAATGGTGTCATTTCTTTGGTTATTACCACAATGAATAAGAAAAGTAAATAAGAAGAGGGTCCTTAGCTTTGGTTTTGCTCAAGAGCTCAGCTCCCTAATCATCACATCTATTTTATAACGTATAACTTGATACAGTACTGGTTTTCTTAACAGCGAATCCTTTGAACAAATATAATCAATACATAAAATTGCTAAAAGCAGATCAGCTCTGGGTAAAATGAGAGTGAGGCATGAAGTATCAACCTGATGTCTACCCACAACTGTCATCCTCTGGGACACCTAAAAGGAATCCCTAATCCCTCTGGAACTAGTTTGAAAACCTATGGAGCCTGGTCTCTGTGGCTCAGTGGTTGAGCGTCACAGTTTGATTCCCGGTCAGGGCACATGCTGGGGTTGCGGGCTTGATCCCCAGTAGGGGGCGTGCAGGAGGCAGCCAATTAATGATTCTTCCTCATCAATGATGTTTCTATCTCCATCTCCCTTTTTCTCTGAAATCAATAAAAATAATTTTTTTTAAAAAAGGACTTCTATTCTAAATAAGAGCCATCCCACTAACTTGATGTGCTCATTAAAAAAAAAAAAAAGTAGAGCACTGTCAGGAGACCCCAAAACTCTGACACTAACAAGGCTACCTAATTAATGTGACCCCTTCCCTCCCTCTGATCGCCAAAAGGCCCCCTCTGGTTATTACTCTCTAGACGGGAAAGTCCCAGGAAATATCTTGAATTTAGAGGAAGAACTTTTTAAAACCAGAGTTGCAATGCTTATACCACGAGTGCACAACTTGCTAGAGCCACATTATTTTTCCTTTTTCTTTTAACAAGCCTCTAACTTCGGAAAACAAAGCTAAAATAACACCTGAAGCCATTAGAAGAGAATCTGGGACAAAGAGGACTTCTAAGTGGCTTGTTAAAATTCTGTAAAGAGCAGTCTTTACAAGATGCTTCCTTACATTCATCATCAGTCAAAAATGATTGTACAAAAATTCTATCAACACTAGGACTCGTCTTATTGTTATTAAAATAAATACAGACAAAAGCATGGGCTTAGTGTAGGCACTGAATCAGCAGTGAATTAGAATTTTTCACCATTCAGCACCAACAGAAAGGAGTCAGTTAGGTCTGAGATAAGTGAAAACAGAAGTTGCCATAGTAACGCACACATTTACCCTAAAAAGGCCGGACTGGGGGTGGGGGGCTGGAAAGTAGGTCAATATTTCTGCCTAACTAGCTCTAGTTCTTGGCTTCCCCTCCTCATCTAAAGCAGCATCCTCCTCCTTCCCCACCCCTATAGGAGCAAGAAGGGGGAAATCAGGTGATAGTCACTCCTTCAAAAAAAGCAAGGGATGAGGAAAGGTCTAGCAGAGGGAAGGTGAACTAAGAGGACAGCCCACTAAAAACCTCATGAGTGCCCTGGGACTACCCCTGGGAAAGCAGTTGCTGATCAAGGGCACCAATGCTAAGAAACTGTTGCTGGGTTACCACAAATCAGAAATTGCCATTTTCCCTGTAGCAGTTTAAGTGCACCTAATGGAACACTTGGGAATGCATTATTAACAGCTTTGGGTTGGGTTAGTGCTGGGGAGGGATGAGTACCCTGGCATGGATGAAACCTGAGACCGTTAGCAATAGGCATTCTTTGATGGTTAAAACTACGAATAGGGCTCGAAAATGGCCTAAAAGACAGAAAGGCAGGGAGGGAAGCTTAGAAGGTTCCTTTTCAAAGTCAGCTGATTTTGCTAACATAGAAACATAGTGCCCTTTGATACTCTGATCTGAAATAGCTACTATTCCAAGAAGGCGAGGGCAACCCTGGTCTCTAAGATGATGTGATGAGTGCCAGAGCTCATAATTAGCTCTTCCACCCGCGGTGCCAACAAATGTGGGAAGCAAGTTAAACAGAAAGCATTTGGGAGCAGGTGCAGTTCCACTTCCCTGCAGCTGTTAGTGTCTGCATAGGAATAACCCAAGGCATTAGTAATGATTTTTAACAATTTGGTGTTAAAGCCCTGGTATTCTAGAAGATGAAAGATAAAGGAGGGAGGTCCAAAAAGCAGAAACATCTTTGTAACCAGTGAATATTTCAAACTCTAATCTCTACATATCCTGTTGTAGTCATTGTACAGAGGCGGGTCTAGGCTTCCATGGCTCAGGCCATTCAAACTTGACTGGGAAACTTTTCAACCCAGCAGACTATTAGAAAGGACAAGCTCAGTTTCAAATTCGAGCTCATGTATTCAGAAACATCTGCAAATTGTCTGCTTGTACTTCTGCATGTCTCCACTCCTCTGCCCTATTAGAGGAGGGAAAGAGGGTCAGAGACACAGCAACATTTAAGATGACTTCAGAGACTACGAGCAGCCAACACCTTTGGAGAGGAGCAACCTTACTGTATGGGCAAGGGATTAGAGACCTGAAGGACCAGGTACCGGGCCTCCACCAATACTATGGGCAGTAGGAGCACAGAGAGAGCAAAGTGCACATAAACTTAAGGCAGGAGGCTATAGGCAAAGAAGGCCTGGGCTGGGGGGGTTGGGGACAGGCTGGGAGAGGGCAATGGGGCAAAAGGGGACATATGTAATACTTTCAACAATAAAGAATTAAATAAAAAATCTGAAGCAAATATGGCAAAATATTAAAATCTGACAGAATTGGTAAATGAAAACAAAACAAACCCCAAAAACAATGTCAATCACTTTATGAGGGAAATGTGAGAATAAACAAATACTATTCTCTCTTTTTTTAAATATATATATATATTTTTATTAACTTCAGAGGGAAAGAGAGAGGGACAAAGAGATAGAAACATCAATGAGGAGAGAGGGTCACTGATCAATTGCTTCCTGCACACCCCACACTGGGATCAAGCCCACAACCCAGGCTTATGCCCTCACTGGGAATCAAACCGTGACCTCCTTGTTTATAGGTTGATGCTCAACCACTAAACCACTGGGCAGATGCTGTTCTATTATGACTTCTCGGTACAGCCCAGAGAATTGACTCAGTCTCGCGAATTTGTATTTTTCTTTTACATAGAGCAGCACATAGGACAAGGAGAAGTTTGTGGAACAAATCACTCTCTAAAACATTCTATTACAAAAATGTTCAAGCTCAAGCATACACAAAGTAGAAAGAATAGGATAACGACCTATCATCTAGATTCAAAATTGATCAATATTCTAGTGCAAATCTTAAAGCCAAGATAGGGATCACTTTAGTGAAGGGTTCTAAGTGTTACACATCAAACCCCAAATGGCAAATTTCTATATTCAACCAGGAACCTGAAGAGATAGGTTCTGTAGGAAAGCAGCAGTGAATAAAGGAAAACAGACGTCTATTTAAATATTTTTGTTGTTGTTAATCCTCACCTGAGGATATTTATTTTTTTCCACCGATTTTTAGAGTGAAAGGGAGAGAGCAGGAGGGGGCAAGGGAGAGAAGGAGAGAGAAAGGGAGTGGGAAAGGGAGAGAGAACAAAAACATTGACCTCAGAGAGACACATCGATTGGTTACCTTCTGCACACACCTCAACTGGGAGTAGGTATTAAACCTGCAACCCAGGTACATGCCCTTGACCGGGAATCGAACCCATAGCCCTTTGGTGCATGGGCCAGATGCTCTAACCATTGAAAACATCAGTCAGGGCCCATTTAAATTTATGAAGAATGTCCAACAGGATAATTATATCTGCAGGTATTTCTACAAGTTATATTATCTGCATTTTTAATTCCTAAAATATATATTTCCAATTAATTTATGTTTGCTGAGCAAGAATCACTGTCTTGCACCAAACTATGAAAAAGGCGCCACAGTTACCATCGTCAGCTTTACAGGACTGTCACGTTTACAACCACTTTTCATTCTGATGCAAACATTTGGCGCAAAGTTAAGAAAAACAGGAAAGCATAGATTTAGTTCATTTATGACCTACTACAACCCACCCTGTGCTGGCATTTGTAGAAGCTAAAGCAAGGTCTGTACTTACTGGAACTGTTACGTCATCATAAAAACTCCAAGCTAAGGCCCATCTCATTGTCCGACCTTGACAGAATTCAGTGTAGGTGACTTTAGGAACCTGAAACCAACAAACACAGCATCTTATCAAATTGAAGTCATTCTACCAATATGTTTCTGGCCGCTGCTTCATGTGAAATTGTGTCCCAAAAAAATTATGCATAGCTGCCTAATAATCAATGAATGAATTATCTCTCAACAAAGTTGTGTCATTTTTCCCTCCCATAAAACATTAGAAAAAATTTATAGTGCTGGCTTGACATCCAAATATATGAAACTTCCAAAACACAGCTCTTCAAAGAAGCATTGGTAAAATGATTTGAATGGTTTTTTGTTTTCTTTTTGTAAGAAAGCAAGCCACCAAATGACTAGACACACCTATATAGTCTCCCTTTTGTCTATCAAATTTTAAGAAAACATAATTGCTTTGTAGCTGTTATAATTTTAACAAAGAAAAAGTGTGGTAGGGAACATAGGGTAAGTAGAATGTGAGAGAGAAACCAGAAATCAGAAATTTGGCTTCTACCACTGGACCCACATCTGATCTTTCTGGAAAGTCATCCTGCTAAGGCTTACTCATGCCAAAATACCATAAACTGGGACGGGCTATGTGAGGGGTAGTATTTATTTGCCACATGCTTTTTAAAACAGAAGCAAGGGGCTGAACTCATGTGGATTGCACCATAGAGGGACACAAACTGTACTGAGGATCTTCTGGTTCTAGGTGTTTTTTGATAACTAGATGCATAACCCAGACTTAATTCTCTTAAGGTACATAGCCTTGAGTTTCTGCAGTTATAAAGGAGTCAGATGTGGCAGGTAGACACCAGGTTGTTTTATATTTTTTTTAAAATTTATTTTAGAGAGGAAGAGGAAAAGAGAGATAGAAAGACTGATGGGAGAGAAACATCAATTGGCTGCCTCCTGCATGCCCCCTACTGCCTCCTGCACGCCCTCATTTGAGGATCAAGCCTGCAATCCATGCATGTGCCCTTGCTGGGAATCGAACCAGTGACCTCTTGGTGCATGGGATGATGCTCAATCCACTGAGCAACACCAGCCAGGCAACACCAGCTTTTTAAAATTTTTGGTTTCTCTCTGACATTATACTCATCCTGTTTTCCCACTTTTTCTTTGTTATAAGCAATTGTCAAACAAGGCCTTATTTAAATAATTTATGAGAAGTCCCTTTTGGCCCCAAAATTAAAAAATAAACAAGCAAAAACAAAACAAAAAGCCCATTGAAAGATTCAAGGTGTAAAGGAAAATCCTATACTCCAACTACCATCAACAGTAGATACACAAGAACAGTAATGAAGAAGGCTTACCCCTTGTACTCGAAGTTCTTCCTTCAGAGGAGCAAGGCTGCATTTCTTTCCCAGCATACAGCTATACCACCTGGAGGGGAAAGTCAGGCAAGTAAAACACTGTTTATGTGGTTACTTTTTTTAAATCCTCACCTGAGGATATGTTTATTGATTTTAGACCAAGGGGAAGGGAAGGAAGGAGGGAGGGAAGGAGAGAGATAGAGAGAGGGAGAGAGAGAAAAAAAACACATTGATGTGAGAGAGAAACATTGATTGGTTGCCTGGACCAGGGATGGAACTGGCAACAATTTTTTGGTGTACAGGAAGACGCTCCAACCAACTGAGCCACCCAGCCAGGGCTATGTGGTTATATTTTTATTTTTTAAAAATCTTTATTGTTCAGATTATTACAGTTGTTCCTCTTTTTCCCCCCATAGTTCCCCTCCACCTGGTTCCCACCCCATCCTCTGCCCTTATCCCCCCCCACTGTCCTCATCCATAGGTGTAAGATTTTTGTTCAATCTCTTCCCACACCCCCATACCTCCTTCCCCCAAGAATTGTCAGTCTGCTCCCTTTCTATGCCCCTTATTCTATTACATTCACCATATTATACTGTTCATCAGATTTTTTATTCATTTAATTTTTAGAGTCACTTGTTGATATGTATTTGTTGTCACTTTGTTGTTCATAATTTTTTATCTTTACCTTT